TTCAATCAAAGCTCCGGCAACTCCCGTGCCGGCCCCTTCCGAAGCAGACACCACCAAAGAGTCTCGGAACCGATTGCTTGATTGAAGATTATCGATCAAACCGTGACAACGCGCGTGCTGACTCCCGTCGCGCCGCAGCCTTCCCTTCACTCGTCCTTGTCCTCCTCCGCCCCGACGTCGTCAACTGGTCGGCACCGGACATATATCCGGTATCTAACTCTGACAACGCGCATGTTGACCTGGACTCGCGCGTCGCACAAACTCCAAGTTGACACAAAATGCTTTAGAGAGGGAAGATATGTACAGAAAATGCAGAAAAAAAAAACTTCTCCGGCTCCACCACTCATGCAGCCTCTTCCACAGTCTCCTCCACAGACCCCTTGGACTCCTCATCCTTCTCAGTCTCCTGTGCTTCCTCCTCCCGCTTCGCGCCCTCCGCCTCCGCATGCTCCGCCTCCGCCTCCCGATCCGCCGCCGCCTCCGCCGCCCTCCTCCTCGCCGCCTCCCTCCTGCGCTTACTCTTCATCTCCTCCATCTCCCTCCTCTCCCTCTCCTGCCCCGCAACCCACTCCCCCACCCCGCCCACCGCACCCTCGGGGTCGTTCTTCCGCCCAAGCAAATACCCCTGCAGCTGCGCGATGGAGAACCGTCCCGCGGGTATCGCGGCGGAGAACTGCGCAGCGAGGGAGGCGAGCTGGGGCGCGGTGAGGCGGAGGCCGGTGGCGGGGGAGAAGTAGCAGCCGATGGAGGCGCCGAGCTCGGGGAGGCAGTCTTCGTCGAATGGGTAGAAGCGCGCGAACATCTGTTCGAGCTGTTCGACCGTGGCGAGGCCGTATTGGATCTAAGCGAAGTCCGTTGTCAGTTGGTTGGTGGCTTAAATCGGACCAGAAGCCCTACCTTTAGATCCATTCGACCCGGACGAATGAGGGCTAAAAGAAACATCAGTCAACCTTCCCATAAAATTCACATTCCCCGTAACGCACCAGGATCCAGCTGCTCGATATGATTCGTCTATCGCATACAAACACCCATCTCAGCCATTCCCACAACATTTCAAGAAAGGAAGCAAAAACACGCACCGTCGCAAAAGTCAACCGCCCTTCCTCACTCGCCACCGAATCCAGCACATTAAGCAGGCCCGCGAGCGTGACCTGCGAGCGCGGCGGCACGGGCTCGCGCGGGATGGGGTTGCCCTTGGCGTCGAGGAGCGGCTCGTCCTCTGCGTCGTCTTCGCGGGAGGGGAAGGCGCAGTCGATGTCCCTGCGCGGCGTTAGAACGGCCGAATTGTAGTGGAGAGCGGACGCGGATGAAGGGGGGTTGGGGAGGAAGAGGGAGGGAAGAAGTAAAAGGGGACAGGAAAGGAATGAAAGACGCACTCAATGAGCAGTATACACCGCGACGGCGTGTCCCGGATGAGCCGGCCGAGCGTGTAGTCGTCGATTCCAGGTGCGGCGAGCGAAATAAAGTAGATCTCGAGTCCGAGTTCGCCGGCCTTTGCGTTGAATAGTAAGTATATCGTCAGCGGCTGAGTTTGGCAGCGTAGGAGGAGAGAGAGAACGCACCAACGCATGAATCGTACTGGACTTTCCCGTCCCGGGTTCGCCGTAGAGCAGGTATCCTGTGCGCAATTATCAGTTAATAGTAGTGCAATACGCCACCCAGGGAGTGGCAATTATCAAGAGGCACTTACCCCGTCGATGGGGCACCCCTGCAAACGTATACCACTCCTCGCTCGCGAGAAACTCCTTCGCGTCGGCGAGGAGGAGCTCCTTGACGCCGTCGGGGAGGATGAGCGTCGCAAAGGCGCGGCGGTTTTTGGTTACTGCGCGGCTGAAATACAATGTTTGTCAGCGAGGGGACTCGGAATGGATCATGGATGCAGGATAGAGGGAGAGTAAAAACACGCACGCCCAACTCCCATAATTATCCGTCAAATGCACCGTCACGCGCGAGATCGCCGCGTGCGTGTAGTGCACCCGTGCGGCCTCGATGAACGCCGTGAGGAGGCTCTTGTCGGTCGAATGCAGGAGGAGGTTGATGGAGCCGCCGGAGGTGCGGCCGTTGCCGTCCTGGTGGGGAGTTAGCGGGGAGTGGGGAGAGTGAGGAAGGGATAATTAAGGATGGGGGATGAATAAATCAACAGCAGGAGATGAAAGAGAAAGAAATGGGGAAGGGCACAATACATGGCCACACAAAGCCAGTAGACCTCGAGGAAAAGCACGGGGAGCAAGGAGAGTGGAATGCCGAGCGCGGGTATACGATCACAACGCAGCGTGCACCAAACACCGCAAAACGGGAGCGCAGCGCGGTAGCCACGCTCAAAAACACCAAAAAACGAAAAGAGAGCAAACAACCAACGTACCTCATACCCAATAACGAACTCGACCTGCATCCAATGCCCGCGCCACCGCAGACGCTGCTTCGTGTTCGAGCTCGGCACGAAGCGCACGATTTGTTTCGCGTCCTGGGAAGCAAAGTGGCGTTAGAACGATGATTTGCAAGAGTAAGATGGGCGTTGGGGAGTTGAGTAGGTAGAATGGGGGGTAGCATTTGGGCTTGGACAAGGGGATGAGAATAATGAGGGCGTAAGGGATTCGACACCCCTGCGACTCGGGCCAGCGATTCGAAACCCCGCGATTCATCACCGCGTGGTTCTACATCACCGTTTAACACACCGCGATTTGAACCCAGCGATTAAACACCCGGTTTTTGCGCGATTCCTCGAGCCTGTAACGCCGCGATTCGAACGCCGTGAGTCAGCGCCCCCGCTCCCCGTGCACACGCTGCAACACATTGTACCGCCCGATCGCATCCCACAACGTCTCCGACGCGCTTGTCCAAGAAAATCCAAAATGCAAAACCAAAAGAAACACACGCACATCCCGCCCCCACCCACTATCCGCCTGCTTCGTCGACACCGTGAACTCGTTCGCGTCCGCCATCACGTTTTCGGACTGCAGGTAGTCCAGGACCCAGTCGTATGAGAAATCGGCTGGGGGCGGCGTGTCAGCGGTGCGTAAAAAAATCATTAAAAGAGAGAGGTTAGCGGTACACAGTGGAAGTGGGATGAAAGGGAGGAGGAAGGAGGAGGGGGATTGAGATCAGATGAGTGAAGGTGAGGAGGAGGGGAATTGAGAAAAGGGGCGGGAACAAGACACAAGTTAGTTTTACAACAGGGCGGGAAGTTTAAAGGCGGGGGAAGGGTTTAAAGGCGGAGGAAGGGCAAAGAGGAAAGGAGATAACACACCCTGGTTGAAGTGGCCCACTATTAGGGATTGGGACTGCACAAGCGCAAGTCAGGTTAACGTTCGTTGTCGAATGGGGCAAACAGAAAAAAGGAATGTGGCAGAAACAGAAACGCAACGCACATAATCATAATCCTGCCTCGGCGGCGGCTCGCCCCTCTCCCGATAAAACGCCCGTGCTTCCTGCACGAACTCGTCCAGCACGCGCCGGTCGCGGGACCATACCTGCAAGGGCGAGCGTTATTAGCGAGGCGTCATCGTAAAGTAAAGTAAATTAAATCGAGTCGTGTATGGCGAAAAAAACATATAACGCGGAGTCACAGCGCGGAGATATATAGCGCGGAGATACAGCGCGGAGATACAGCGCGGAGAAATACAGCGCGAAGACGTGTAGTCGGAAGTCATGCATAACGCAGAGCAATTGTTCGCGTCCACAAGTGGTACAAAGAATGTACAGCACGCTGCGCGCGCAACGCGATAAACAGACAGAGAGAAACACACCTGCAACGTAAGCGCACTCGCCCCGTCCGTCTCGTCTTTCGAAATAGTAATCCAGTGGCGGTTGCGCCAGTGGAAGAGCTCGGGCTCGGACGCGGAGGGCTCGTAGATCGCTTCTGGGTACCTGCGCCGCGTTGTATTAAACTTAGAAATCCCAGGGATTTAAACTGGCAGGAGGAAGAGACGCGCACGCACCCATCATTCCCAGCCCCCTCCGCCCCATTATCGAGTTGTTTCGGCTTGAGCGCCACCAGCTCGCGATTGGTCATCTTCGCGGCATCGCGGGCGACGACGCGGAAGGTGCGGGAGCGGTTCCAGACCTTGTGGTGGTCGATGTAGGCGGAGACCCATTCGTAGGAGAGTTCGCCTTGTTTGAATGAGGCCTGTGCGCGCATCATTATCGTCAGTTGTTCCTTTTATGTTATATGGATAGGTTGAATTTTGGGTGCGTACCTTGACGAGGAAAACTACACGCGTCGAATTTAATTTAGCGAGAAGGAGAAAGAATAGAAGGGGAAGGGACGCACAGCTGTTAACCGTCGCGACCATCTTCGCGCCGATGACACGGCCCCTACCGACGCGCAATGGGGTTAACATTCGATTCCAAATTCTACCAAATTGCCTCCCCCAAAAAAAAGGTGGGAGAAGTTAAGAAAAAAGGAGGGCAAGACAACGCACGTCTCGACAATCGTCCCCAAAAAGATAAACCTCAACAGCTCCGCGACCTGCGGGTTCCCGAGGAAGCGCTGCAGCAGGCGCGCAAGGGCGCGGAGGATGTGCGACCAGGAGCGCCCGGATTGGGTTTGGAAGCGGCGGAGGGCGGGGAGGAGGGCGGGCATACTGGATCCTCGTTGTGGGTATGATATAGGTGGGAGAGAGGGAGAGAGGGAGAGTGTGGGCGCAGTCGAAGGATTCAGCGCCCTTATAAGTGTCAAGGACGACCCCTGTCAGTAAGGCACGTCGCTTGACGTTGGCTGACTCGGTGAGGATGTGGACGATAGATGACTCGCCGACGAGGACAAGGACAAGGGAAGGGAAGGCTGCGGCGCGACGACAAGGCGGGAGTCAGCACGCGTGGTTGGCGCTGAAAAATGCACAGCAAATCAATGATCGATGATCAATCAATCGGTTCCGAGGTGTCGTTCGGGTGAGTCGGCACGGGAGTTGCCGAGGGTTTGGTTGAAGTTCAAGTTCAAGTACAAGTTCTTGTCGCCAAGAAGGTTGGTTATCTGTCAAGATTTGAATACCTCAGAAGAAGGCTTGGTTGCGCGTGGTGCGCCTCTGCGTTGTATTGAAGGTTAGAAACCCGAGTCTGCAGAAGTTGCCTGTTCGAATCAGGCCCAAGCCATTCCGCGGTGGTTCCAGATGTTTTTCTTTCAGGTAGGCAGAAACAGGCAGGATACTTATGTCCCAGGGGAATATGCTCTAGGCTCGCTCAGCACCCATGTTGTGCTATTCATGAAGCATGCAGCTGACCAAATGAAAAGCCCGCTGGCATATGGATAACCCCCCCCCCCCCCCCCCCCACACACACACACAGTAGTACATCGGCCGGCGTCTTATTGTGGGTGACCCGTTCGATTCTGGCGCAGACCATAATCTTCAGCATTGCCTGTTTTTTGTTCCCTTCCGTCATCAACCACGCAGATTGGGACTTCACGTTTTTGCCGCAAAAATCGCAGATGAGGTGCCTATCAAGCCTTGGATCTCACTGGACGAAAGGCTTGGTTGCGCTTGGTGCGCGTCTGCCTGGAATCCTGGGTCCGCAATTCGATCTATCAGCAGAAGATGCCTGTTAAAATCAGGCCCAAGGCATTCCATGGCGGCTTGAGACTGTTTTTTCTTTCCCGGGAGCCATATCCTATTCATGGGTTACTAACCCCTGTAGAAAGCGGGCGCCAAACGTGAAGCCAGAATATTTCTTCATGTGTTCAAATCCGATGCAGGCAAAGGGAATATGCTCCAAGATAATCAAGCGCAAGAAAAGCCCGCTGGCATGTGGATGCCCCACACACAGAACGGGTGCCGAAGAAAATTGTTGTGGGTGACCCGTTCGATTCGGGCACGGGCCATCCGCCATCCAAGATCGCTTTTTTAAATTCTGGGGGTTTTCTTCTTTCTATCACGCCGGTTGGGACGCTGGACTGCAGAATAGATACAGTATCCATCGAATTCGAAGTCTTCAAGTCAGCAACGTACAGACTTAGGATAAAACCCGCTGGCATATGGATGCCCCCACACAGTAGCCCTGCCGAAGACACTATGGTGGGTGACCCGTTCGATTCGGGCTCGGGGCATGGTCTGGAGGCAAGAGTATCTTTTGTGGTGGTCAAGTCTGATACAGGATGTAGAGCCGGGGGATACGTCTCGGCCTCCGTGTTGTTTTGTGCTCATTTCCGGCCAAGAAATCATATTTGTGTATAGAGAGATCGAATCCAGACAAGAAAGACCCATTAATAGAGGTATGCATGCCCACACATCACGTTAGGTGGCTAGGGGACAGTCCGTTCGATTCGGGGACGGGTCATAGTCAAGACAGGTTGCAGTGTCGGGTTCGAAACCCCGCTTACTGAGATCACAGTGATTTGTTGAGGGACAGGGAGAGAGATACGGCTCGCTGGAAGATGTAATTCATAATGCACCCACGCATCTTACACTTGAATTCCCTTTCGCTGGCTAATATGTGAGACTCCGTTCGATCCGGGGCGGGCCATGAGACGACAGAGGCTCATGTTTTTGTTTTGCGCCGTTGAAGCTCCAGCCTCCGCCGTTCTTGGATTCAGATACAGGATATATCCTTGCGAGTAGAGAATCTCAACCCCCTGTCGGCGTGCCCTCAAGGAGTCTGAGCCATCGTTCAGATCTGGACCTTTTTTTTCTTTCGTTGGTTTGGTTATCTATTGCCTGCATTGCCACTGCATCTGTATGGAATTTGCTTTTGGCACTCTCAGAGGGATAATTCTATTTGGCACCCCCAAGTGCCGTCACCACCCGGGTGCCATAGAACATTTTTCTATTTGGCACCACGGCAAGCCCGGCTAACTTTGATAAGAGAACAGTTGCCGAAGGCGCGCCGAAAACTTAAACCTGCTTGAACCACTCTTTCCGCACCGTTTTTGAGTGAATGAGGCGGTTTTCAGCCGCTAAATATACCTGCAGGGCATCGATTCTGTTTTCTGGAAGTTTTTGAGGGTGTAAGCCAAGTCTACAGGTGTTTTAGAGCTAAACACGGCGAAAAATGCTGACTTTGTTGCATTCTGGCCCCCCAGGTGTGACTTTTTGGCCGCAAATTGAAGGGCATACTTCAGAAGGACATATATGTAAGATGAAGTTGATTGTACACTAGCTAGAGGTAAAGTTACGGCCAAAATAGTGAAGTGCGGGCTATCCCGCCCAATCCCGCCGCGCGCCACAGCTGATGGTATCAAAGATCACATTTCAAATCAGGGGTGCCATATAGCACCACCCGGGTGCCAACAGAACATGGGGGTGCCAAATAGAATTATCCCTCTCAGAGGCTTGCATTCACTCAGGTACACAACATACCCGATGCACACAATAAAGTATAAAGCCCGCTAGGCTCACATGGATGCCACACAATCGCCTGTCTGCGCGGCACTTTCATCAACAACTTACATCTTCCCAGGTACACAAGGCACCCAATGAGGCCCGCAAGCATATGGACACCCCCCGACACAGTAGCCCTGTCAAGTAGAAATATACCCGTTCGGTTCGGGGACGGGCCATAGTCGGTGACGTTCCACTTTTTCTCTCTCTCTCTTTCCTTCCTCTAACCTGAATTCCACTAGCATATGGAATGCTGGATTGTACTGTACTCGATTGGGCAGCATAGAGCAGCCGTCCAGACGACTTCGATAAGACCCGGCTGCGGTGGATCGCACCTGCGCTGCTTAAGCGAAGTTAATTAGGATGAGTAGGTGCCCGTTCAATTCAGGCTCAGGTCGTTCATTTCGGCGATTGTTCCGTTCCTGTCTTCTTTGCATTCTTTTTTCGCGGTAGCAAGTGGGATCAGGTTGGCTAGTCTATCGGCTTGTCACTGTCGTCAGTCAGCCATCCATCTCTTCTTGTCTGCTTCCACCAGCCGCTCTTGGAGGCTGCCAGTTCTGGCGTCTCCGTTGTTGATATCCTTCAAACGATTACTCTCCGTTATCTAAGAGCTCGGCTCGGGCTCGATACCAGTTTGGATTGAATTTGTCTTGGGCTTCTTGACTCTTGAACCCCTCCTGGTCTAAGCAAGATGACAGTTCAACATTCACTAAAAACTGATCCATTGGTCATTCATACACCCACAGCAGTATCACACAGCCCTCAATAAAACCCGCTACACCTGCAATGCGCTACGCACGCAGGATAGCTGAGCAGGGGCACCTTCGATTCGAATTCAGAGGATCCTCACGACGTAAAGATACCCTCGCTATGCTCCAAAGCGAGGAAAACTTATACAACGCTCTTAATCTTTGGGATATGACATACATATTACTTGCCCAGCTTCCCAGACAAACAAAGACCCGATTGCGGTGTGCCGCACCTGCGCTGCTTCAATGGTGAAAATCGGTTTGAATTCCAGCAGGCGCTCGTTCGATCCGGGCTTGGGGCTTGACAACATCCATTGAACCTTTTTTCCTCCGTGGATGCCTCAGAAGGATCGGAGCTCTAGCAGAACGGATAAGGTACTGACACAAAAATGAACGATGTTGCACACGTCAGAATATATTCCTGCCCATTTCATTCACAGGGCGAATCGAGAGTTCAAGTTCTCAGAGTGAATTCACCGCGTACCCATCCTAGGCCGGCCCGCTCCAACACAATTGAGATATCTATTTAAGTCCAGGCATCGAGTAAGACCTGCTAGCATAATTATACCCCCACACACACGTGCCGTCATGAGAACCGAACATTTGAACCAAAGTTGGTAGGGGCATTTGGCAAGGATTTTGCCGGCGTGTCTCGGCGCCGCAGTTTTGACTTAAGTAGCCTCCGCTGTAAGGAAGCCGTACATGAGGAAGAGCGGGGGGCAAGGAGAATCGATCTCGTTGCTCGACGTATGTTGGTTTTATCTCGTTGAAACCAATTTAAGATATCTGTTAGGCCATTCGGTTACAAGCTCATGAGGAGCTCTACTGTAGGTACCAAGGGGGTCCGGGCCGGTCAAGCCGTGACCGGGTGCTGGGAGGGTGGGTCGGCCGCCAGGCCCGCCAGAAAAAAATAGTGCATTAGTTTTAGAGGGTCGGCGGAGGTCTGGGTGAGCTTTGCGCTCAATCTGGAGGCATACTTTGACCTCCAAACCCGCTTTTGAGGTCTAAAAGTGGCTGTAAGCATGGCATCAGGCCAATCCGAAACCAATGTAAGTTGAATCTAAGCCTGGAGCCCATTATAAACTCAGCATTTTGGATTTAATCTAATTCCTGTGAGATTGTACATGCATGCCTAGTTTTTCAGGGAGCTTTGCGACTACTCTCGATCAGTTGAACTACCTCAATCAACAATTCCTCGCTTTACCTAGTTATCGTACACTTGGGACTGGTTGAGCATTTGTCGAGCATTTTGTTTAGGTGCGAGAGGTCTCGCATGGTTACATCGCTTCAATGGACGTCCCGGGTGGCTATTTGACTGTGATTGAAGGCTTTTGCTGTTGTTTTGCGACAGCGACGGCATTTTCCGGACGTTGTCCAGACCCATCCACGTGGGAAATTACCGCATTTGGACGTCACGTGGTAGGGAGGGTCAGGAAGGGTCGGTTTGAAGAAAAACGGCATAAGGTATTTTTTCTTTTCTTTCAGTACCCCCTTGGTAGGTACTGTATTTATACTGAATCCAATTCCTTCCTGAATATTCCACCGTGTTCCGTGTGGTTCAACATCAGTCAGCATTTATTCAGCGGCTCGGTCATGCCTAAGGCTCCAACCATTTCCGTTTACAAACAGTTTTAAACGGTTTAAACCGTTTCCATTTCCATTTAATTTGACCAGGGTGGAAAACGGTTTACAAACCGTTTCAAACGGTTCAAATGGTTATCTGCCAGGGCACCGCTGAGCGGGCAGATCTGGGGAGTTTATGGGCTGGATCTGGACGTGAGTGTCATCTTCACTGTACCCGAGGCACGGCAGATAAAGTTGAAGCACTCTAGAGATAAGTTGAACCACCAGTCGGACCAAGAGGGATGTGCAACGGACCCAATGGAAGTCACCTCAGCGCATTAATTTCATGCTGGAGTGAAGCCGCTGATTATACTCCTCAGTGCGAGAGCCTGGACACATATTCCAATCATCTCAGAGGTGGCAGTTAACTTCCATTTTCGCGATCGTACTCCTCGTGCCCGTGTCAGGA